CTTCATACAATTATCAGTTTGTTGACATTCGTTCAGAACGCCCCAATTAATCTTTATAAAACTAAACCGAAAGCACTAATTTTATAATAAAAAACTTTTTTAATAAACAACCCTTATGGGTATATTCCATAATTATTCAAAATTTACTTATAAATATCTTCAGCTGTCCTAACGGAAATGGTATCTGTTCAACTTTAGCCTTTGACCGCAAAAGCCTAATCAAATAAAAAACTTTCCTATTTTGAAACTGAAGGTACATCGCGTTGTCATCTTCTCAACAAACGCGCCACAATTGTATTTACATATCTTTTGTTTACGTAAGTGTGCAATTCCCATTAAAAATCATTTTTATACCACACTTGAAATCAGCAGCATACGATTGTGGCACGCCACTCACCTTCACACCTTATGTTACACATCAGTATATCCATATATAAGAGTACAAACAGTGTAACGTAGTACCGCCTGGGTAAGCGAGGAATAACGCAAGTAAAACGAGCTAACAAGATCAAATATAATTTAAAAGATTTACTACATTCGAGTTTCAGTTTATGAAGGTGTGTTGTTCTTGCTTTTGTGGCTTTTTGTAGATACATATGGAGTCAGCTGTTTGCGTCTACTATGGTTTTTTAATTTATTTCGTTCTTCTTCTTTTACTTCGTCGCCCTTCTTTCCATTTTTGAAAAGCTCAATTTTTATTGCTCATCAAATTTAGTTGATATAAATCTTAATTGCCGACCCAAACAAATACACAATGTGTATCTGCAAGCTGCAGGCTACGTCTGGCCACATTTCACTGACTGTCTATTAGACGCCACTGCGCTTTCCTCATTGCAAAGTAGAGTGGAGAAAATGAATGTATGTAATTTTGATTGCTTAAGTTTGTACGTTGTGCTCTGCTATTTTAGTTTTCTTATGCGAAATGTAAACACTTATCAAAAAGAAGTAGTGCTAATGAACCCAATGAAAATAAAAAATACTAACATTGTGTGTTTGCAAAAAGGCATTGCTGCAAATAAAAACAATAGTATTCAAATATAATATATGTATGCTCTTGTCGCTTAACTACTTGCATAAAATATTAAAAGTTGAACTGAAAATATTTAAAGTTTTCATACATATGTATATACATTAGGTGTGTATATGTATTCACAAGCCAAAAACTAACATATTTAGAGGCGAAACCGGCAGCCCTGTTATGAACGTTTTTAAATTTATTTAACAACCACAAATCATTAGTGAGACGTAATCAATGGGGCAACTCTCACATGTGTATATATATTCGTACATCTCTTTACGTTCAAACGGTATACAAACAACCATGGCAATCTCATCGCTTTAAAAAGTCTAAAACAATAAAAAAAAACATAAAAATATATGTGCATTGGGTTAAAATTGGAATTTAATAATGATTTATTTATTATAATATTATTCGGTGGTGTCCAAGCAAACTTTCGTTGTTGAAACCATTAGCATTAATTACCTTTTATAAATATGTACTGTTTGTCTTCGAAATTAATTTGAAGAAAGATCTTATATTTTACTCACTTCTTATGATTAACCTTTTAAAGGTTATATCATTTGGTTGAATTTAAATAAATATAGTAGATATTAGACCAGAATGGAATACCTTGCGGAAAAAACCTTTACACATTACATAGCTTTAAAGTATCATCATTTTTTCAAGCCCAAATATACCGAATATGTGGACCTCAGTGCCACTAACTAATATTTTACCGAAAATATAGCTAAATCTCTACGATGAATTATTGAAATTCAAAGATAATCTTTTCTTGATAACAGTAACTTGTGCCAAAAACAGGCAAGATTGGATCAGAGCTTCCCCAGCTACCATATACCTCATATATATTTTCGAACTTCAGGTTGACTTTATACTATATACATATATATGTATATCGGTCAATAATTGAGTTATCGTAATGAAATTCAATTAGTGTTACTGGTAATGGTATGCAGCGATGATAAAACATTATGAAATCGGTTCAATACTTCCCCTTCCCATATACATAATATAAAGGTTTAGGATTGACTTTATGCCGAATATATCGACCTATATGTATGATACCTTATAAAATTAAACGCTCTGTGCTCGTTATGTGCATGAAATTGCGTGGAAACAACGTTATCAAGTATACTTATATGGGGTATGTATGGCCTCCAAATTGCGAGAGTATAAAATATAGTATTAATATACGATTTTGCCAACACCTAAAAGTATTTGCCCAGCTTTGATGCTTTTAAATTTCGTGAGTATAAAATGTTCGGTTACACCTGAACTTAGCCCTTCCTTATAGGTTAATTTTGTACTTTTTTTGACGTGAGCCAACAGAAGCGGTGCTTAAAGCGTCAGGCACGACCTAGCATATTTAAATATACACGTGGTCTATCACAAGCATTAAATCAAATTCTTACACTCTTGCTCCACATTGCTTGAACATAACACAGCACATCACCACATCCCATTTTTAATTTTTTTTTCGAATGCTGAGCAGCGCACTCATAGTATCTGGCATTTCGTTGTTTACATTTAGCACTTTTACGATGTAAACATAAAACTGAGAGCATAAAAATTTGGTGGACAAAAAAAATGAGAATTATGCTAACATGTTTTGTATTATCCTTTCGGTCGTGTATAAAAATACTTTGCATTACTTTTACTAAAGTTTTACTACGTTTAATTTAAAACTATCGTTACATTTCATCGAAAACACTGGTTGCTCAAGACAACGCTACAATCTCCAAACAAGTTGTTTAGATCGGTCTACTAAAACATAAAGCTGCCATACCAAACGACCGATTTTTAGATGAAAACTTTTTTATTTGGCAGATGTTTCCACAAAATTTGGCATTTATTATTATTTAAATAAACGCTAGAATCTACGAACATATTGTTCAGATCGGTAAACTATAGTATACCATACAAACTGATTGATAACAAGTAAGGAAGGGCTAAGTTCGGATGTAACCGAACATTTTATACTCTCGCAAAGTCAAATGGTATACTCGTTTGAGATTTCTTTGTGGATTGACTGATATTTTCGGTAGAAGGTCAACTATAGGCACTGGGGCCCACATATTTAGTACTTAGAGGCTTGAACAGTTTTGGTTCGATTTAGACAATTTTTGGCCGCAAGGTGGCATACTTTAATTGCATTATTCACGCAAAGTTTTACCCCGATATAATCATTGTTACCTGATTTGCATAGTGGAAAGTGAAAGAATCAGATGGAATTGAAAATGGTGTTACATGGGAAGTAAGCGTGGTTGTAGTCCGATTTCGCCCATTTTCGCACTATGACATAGAAACATGAGAAGAACGTTATGCACCGAATTTGGTTGAAATCGGTTGAGCAGATCTCAAGATATGGGTTTTAACCTAAAAGTGGGCTGTGCCACGCCCACTGTCTAATTTTGAACGCGGTTCCTATAAAGTCATCTTATACCATCTCAGAGATAAAATTTAATGTCTCTGGCGTGTTTAATGCTTGATTTATCGCGCTTTTAGTAGTTTTTAACAGTACCGTTATATGGGGAGTGGGCGGATTTGCCACCCGATTTCAACTATTTTCACACCGTCAATAGAAGTGCTAAAAACATTTGCTTCTAGTGAATTTTGTTATTATAGCATAAGCGGTTTAGGAGATATGCACATTAAACCTATTAGAGGCGGGACCACGCCCACTTTTAAAAAAAAAGTTTTAACTGCAGATACCCTCCCTAATGTGATCCTGTGTACCAAATAACAGTCTTGTATCTTATTGCGGAGCTTAGTTATGGCAAGTTATTTGTTTTTGATTAATGGCGTTTTGTGGGCGTGGCAGTGGTCCGATTACGCCCATCTGCAATACCAACCATCTTACGGTACCAAGAAACATGTCTACCAAGTTTCATAAAGATATCTCAATTTTTACTCAAGTTAGAGCTTGCACGGACGGACGGACGGACGGACAGACAGTTACCCGGATTTCAACTCGTCTCTTCATCCTGATCATTTATATATATATAACCCTATATCTACCTCGATTAGTTTTAGGTGATACAAACAACCGTTAGGTGAACAAAACTATTATACTCTGTAGCAACAGGTTGCGAGAGTATAAAAATCAAGATAAAGATCTTCAGATAAGAATAAGAAGGGTATTAAAAAGGATGTTTTTTTTTATAGATTTTCTGTAAGAAATAAAACGCACATTATTTAATGATATGTCCAACAATTTAGCTTTATTATTAAGATAAGGGTGGCCAATATGCTTTAAAAAGAATTCGGGCAAGTGACCACCGCGACTGGCTTGAATAAATTCCAGGCAAGAGGTCCAATTTTTAACCACTGTTTGAAGCACATATCTTTAAAAAATTGATCGGTTTTTTCTTCGGGATCGGTGGCCATCTCGTTATGGGCACAAATTATCTATAAAGTGGGTGGACACTGCTCCAACTGCTTCGCGCGATAGCGGACGGACTCATTCGGGTCTTCTTCGATACAATGTACGGCGTCTCTGAGGATGCGCATTATTCACTAGAGTAAACGTGGTGCGAAACCGCTCCATTGTTGCTCGAATTACCAACTTGGTTTGACGATTATGTGCGCGATGCGTCGCACGAACCGAACCATTATTTGGTAATAAATTTGAATGATTTGCAAACGTTCTTCCGAAGTATTTCTGTTCATTATGAAATTACCATCCAAACTGAATATAAATCAAGTAATAGCTGTCAAAACAACCAACTCCAAAAAATGGTATTGCCTTATTGAAACCCACATGTCTAAAAAAAAATCACACGTTAGCTTCGGTGCAACCAAAGTTTCTAAAAAAATTATTAACTGTTTTACTACTTGTTTATCGAATATATGCTTAGGAAATATGAAAGTTTTTATAACTTTTTTGTGCTATATAAGACTGCTGGCTTACATTATTTTTCTCAAATAAGTGGCGTGCCAAATTAATTAACAATATTCCATTACTATTGTCTCATTTTAGGTAAGATAAGATCAGATTTAACACAATACGGCGGAATATCAACAGATATGGGTAAGAACTTCTATTAATTTTTTTTACTTAAGTTTTTCCTTTTTTATTACGAATTTTGAACTTTCTTAGATTGGTGTTGGTTTTTACATGTTACGAATATAAATATTGTTTACCCCTGAAATCGCGAAAGCCTACTGTTTATTTAATAATGACACAGCGTTATAAACAACACAATCCTAAACGGTTCAAAGATCCTAGAAACAGTGAAGACAAAAATAAAGACAATATTTGCAACTATTTGGATTTGCTATTTCAAACAGGAATACGTTTGGTTTTAGTTTTATGATTCATTATATTAAGAGTTGCAATACAACTACGTTGATACTTATTGTTGTTGATCGAAATTTGAATATAGGTACATGTGAATTAAAAAATTAAACTTTGATACGCAATATCGCAATACCACAATGTTACAAATTTTGTGTAAATGCATTGTGCTACATGGGCACCCACCTGTGATAATTATTTCGCTTATTCAAAAAATGAGGTGTGTTTTTAAACTTCGTATCCTCCATACATATATTCAAGTCGAAATTTTTTTTTTCTGCATTGTACACTCGACCATGAAAAGCTGCACTTCTAAAGGAACTTAGGTTTATTAAAAAAGGGTAGAGTATTGGAAGAAATGCTAACATAAGTGTAGTATATTTAGCAACACTAATGATCAAATATAGAATTCTTGATAAACATGAAGAGTATGCATGTAAAAAATATGTCATATTTGTATTTTCATATATATATTCATTATATATACATATATAAGTGTATATGTACAAACATTAACATTAGGGTGCGTAAAAAATGGAATAATTTTTTTCGATTGGTACTCAGAAAAATATATTCTTAGACACCTCTACAAAAATATCTCCAAGGATGAGCTCTTAATTGTAAGGGGAAGGTCCTTCGCCTCACATTTTTGAATTTTTTTCTTATTATCAGATATAAACTTCCAACTACTTTTGAAAATACCAAGCAGTAAATTTCCTATAAAACTATGAGTTTTGCAAATGAATTTTTTTTCAATGAGTTATAAAATAAAATTGCCTTAAAATTATTGAACTTTAACCGTTAGTTTTTTTCAATCCACCCTAATGAACAAGGTCGATGTTAAGACCCGCGTTGATCTTGAACTATTTGCTTGTTTATCCTTCCCTCTCTCAAGCAATTGACACCAGTTCATACTCGTAATTCACAAAGATTGTTTAAGTAAATAGTCGGGATTAGATAATAATAAAAATGTTTACACAAATGTTATTTTTTATAGAACCCCTATTAAATTTTTATACCTGCTCAAAACCCGCGAAATGTTGCTAAATAGATTAACAACAAAATGCATCACCGTCGACTACCTTAATGCTCGTAGTTTCAACAAATAATATTCAATTAGCAATTTGAATATGAATTATTATATTGCGAGTGAAAAATAAAGACGCCAAGAAACTACATACATAAGTTCATCACTCCACTGCAAAATTATCCTACATCTGCAAGAGAAAAAACATGTACATGCCACCATACCACAGAAGCTAGGGCTGTATGGTCAACTCGGACCTCGATGACGATTGCGTATTACACCCCACCACGACTTGTCAGTCTTATGTAGCTGCAATGCGGATAAAACAACAACCGCATTTCAGCAATAAACAGCGCTTCCAGTGACGTTATACACAACTTGTTTACATCGCAGTCTGAACGACATATGTGTAATAAAAGTAACAATTTAAACTAACCCTCTAAAATGAATTGACTTACGTAGCAAAAATTGTATGTTTTTTTTATTATCGAGCATATATTTGACATACGTTCTCACATTGTCAATATGAGTTTTAAAATCAAAAGTAGTAGTAAATTAATGCCATTTTTGAGTATATAATATAAGCTACCGAAATCAGCTTAACTGGAATTTGAACCCAGAATAAACCCAAAGTAGTCAAACCTGGCTAGCTCATAACACATTACTTGCAATGTAAAAATATTAACGAGAATTGAATTCTTATTACACTAGTCTTGGAGGTTTTGGGGTGTATGCAGAATGGAAGCTCAAAGCCGAGCTGAGCACAAAGATGACGAATGCGATAAATCAGCTTTAAAACTGTGCACGTACATTTTCATACGAAATCATATAGACGCCGCAGAGTGGAATCCGAGCGTAAAGCTAATCAATGCGAGAAAACCAGTTTTGAAACGTTTCTCGGCACCTACTTGCATAGTGCATTTGCATGTTGATCTCATATTTTGCTTACAAAGAATTACCATGAATGTGGTAGAATAATATTTAGAATACCCACTACTAATATTTTCATGGCCAAATTTATTTTCTTTTTCACAAAACATTAATTTATTGATTACATTTCTTGTTTTAAATAAAATTATGTCCGAACTATATCCTTTGCAGTTAAAAGAAACTGTTACGAACAAGAAACAGAACAATATAATAGCAAAATACGCGCGTAGTTTAGCGCTGAATCTCGCATCTACTCTGCGATACCTAAAATCGGTCAGTGCTGATCGAAATCAGCTTTGTGCTCGACTTGGCTTTGAGAGTCCACTCTGCAGGTACACTTAGACTCCTCCTTCCTTGTTCGCTGGGTTCCATAGGTTCTATGATAATATATATGTATGTGTGTATAAAAGTGTTTTGTTAATCAAATCAAAAAATAACTTACAATATCCAAATAGCATTCATTGAAGCACTAATAATAATCGAATTATAAATCTCATATTAATAAAGTCAGAGTTGATATCTCAAAAACTGCAAATCACTTTCTTTCCCTAAATAATTATGGTATATAACCAATGAGGAATACAGTAAAAGCGAATACATTTTAAAAACTCGATACGCAAATCAATTGACTTTAATGCACATTACTAAACCAATATTGTCATATCAACGAAAATATCAATAAAATTGTTGTTGTGTTACGACTTATATATTCGTGCACTCATATTTATGAATGTCCTGTAGAGCTGCAATATGTGCCATCTCGTCATTTCGTGGGTATGGAATAACCAATAGTCATGCAATATATTTATAACAGTTCTACCTTTTGTTATTGTGATTGAGGTCGAGAGGCCAGGAAGCAGAAGAAGAATGAAAAAGGCAAAATGAGACCGAACGTAGAGTACCGCATGCAACACTTCGTAAACAAACAGGTGATGCTATAAAAACCAACAATTAATCATTTTTAGTAACTAACAACTTGCGTTGCTGTAAAAAGAAGCGACGCTTAATGTTTAACAAGCGCAAAACGCCTGTTAATTATCACCTGAAAAGATTAATGCCCACTTAATGTGAGTTAGCTACAAAGCAAAAAATACAAAACAGCAATTGCATGTCGCTGCAGTTTCCGCGTAAATAGCTCATTTTGCGCATCCACAGCGGCAAAACATACTAAACTACAGTTCCATCCACGTGTTTGTTAGTATCCCGCTAATGCAAGATGAAGTGGATGTTGGCAATGTACTGACGTTGCTCAGATGCCCCATGCGAGTTGCTGTTCACAGTTTTTGTATTCATAGTTTGTTAAAAACTTACACATTGAACTGAACGTACTACATTTGTATATTATGAAAATAAAAAAATAATTTTACCCCAGAGTGTTATGGCTGTGCACCGCATGTGTAGATGAATATTAGAGCAAAACTACATATCAGGGCAATAAAAAGTGTTACTTCGCATAACTACTTTACTTTGCATTGAATACTTCAATGTGCTCATCCAGTTTCCGTCTTTCATCCATATTCGCTCGCTTCTGACACTTTCACTTATTTGCTGTTCTCCTCCATTCATTTAACTTGTTCCAAAAATTCTCTGATTCCGGCGGTACATGTTTATTCGCTGCAATTTGTCAATATTCATTTTTAAAATTTATTAACTGCCAAACGACAGCAGCGAAAGCAAAAACAAAGCACTACACTACTAACAAGTTAGTGGCTGATAATGGCAATAAAGTCAAGCAAACGTGAAATAAATTCGATTATGGTGAAGCAGAGTGCGTCTGGCTCACATCGCCGGCGGTAAACTCGTTTGTTTTCGATTTCCTTCGTAGCGCGTACAGGAGCCGTTTCTTGATTTTGTTCGTGCGAATATTATTTTACGTATATACATAAATATATATTAGGGCATGCCGTTTCTTAAGCTTTGAATATGAGTTTCTCCGCTTTTACAAAGATTATGCAAGCGTGTTTATATACCCACAAGTTCAATATACCTACAATATATTTTGAAGTGGGATCTTTTTGGAAATGTTATTTTAAGGAAATTATGCTAATAATACAGTTTTTTCTTTCATTAAGAAAATGGTATCGTTTGTATATATAATTTAAATATTTTAAAACAACATTTTAGTGGTAATAACTTTAATTACCTAATTAAACCTGAAATCAAACTAAACTTTTCGAAATTTTATATTAATGTATTGATAAAAAAAAGTTTAACTAAAGTAATAACATATTTTGTAGATATATACAGACATTTTTTTTGCATTTGCAGATAAAACTTTTATATACTATATATATAGTATAGAATATTATATATAATATTCAAGTTAGCCTTTTTTCGTGAAATTTTCAACATCAAAAATGTTTAACTACCCACATACTATACATCTATTTGGCATATTTACTTTCCATACATATTTTTAACTAATGTATTTTTACATAGCTAAACTTAAAGCACTTTTGTCAAATTAAATTTGAAGTAATTTCTAGACATAGTTTTCACTGACATGTTAAACCCTTATACCGCAGGTGTATTTCTTGAATAGATATTAAAAATATATTAAAAATAAGCACTACAAAAATTATTTACTTTGAAATAATCAAACAATTTATATATTTATACATATAAGCTTGTCCGTCACACATTAAAATTTGAAAAATGTGCCGTACTGTTCCAATGATTAATAACCGCCAAAAAAATAGCGAAGAAAAACCTGATTTGCTCATTGAATGACTCTGCAGCTAACGAAGGCGGCCATTATGGTCTCCAGTCCATACAA